GATACCTGCCTCATGTTTGGAGGGACCAAAGGCTTGGCCTGCAGAGAAGCCTACCCCTTCCCCTCACCACACTGTTCCTGTGTCTCTAAGTGGTCTACCCCAGCTAGGTGGAGTGGGGGGTGAGTGTGTGTGCCTGAAGGCTTGGCCAGGGCATTAGCTGTGGCCAGTTGTGGCCACTGGATCTTGGGCCAAGCCTCACTGCTCCTTCCTCAGCCCTTATCCCAGGAAGGACAAGATGCTCAGCTCAAGAGAGCAGGAAAGGCCCTCAAGGCCTGTCCCCTAGCCTCAGGCCCAGCCCCCACATCCCATACCTATTTGTTCTCACCTTGGACTTCGGCAGTAATGGAAAGCCAGGCTAGGTGTTTGCTTTGTGAGGGCAGAGGTCAGTGGCCCTGGCCTCTGCCCTTTTCCTGCCTAAGGGGAGCCTGGCCTTTGCACTGTTGAGGGGGCAGGTGGAAGAATTACAGAGGACTGTGTCCTTGGTCCCTGCGAGCTGAGGATGTGGGAAGTGAAGGCTGGTCACCGCAGTGGTGGAGGGTGGGTGTTAGGCTGGGATGGGAATCACGGGGAAATCCGAGGAACCCAGAGTGAAGGCTAGTGCCCGCAGTGCCTGGCTGCATGGGGAATCAACTGGAAGCCAAACTGGATAAACCAGATGTGGTGAACTGGATGTGCTACCGCAAAACGGAGGACTTCTTCACCATCTGGCTGGATATCACTATGTTCCTACCCCTTGGAGTAGACTGCTGGATCGATAACACCAGGTACGGGCCACTCTCTCCGCCCCAGCTCCCTCATCCGGCCTCTTGATTGCTGACCTGCTGACTCTCCTGTTGTCCGCAGGGTCGTCTACAACCGCAGCTCAGGGAGTGTGTCCAATGCCCCCGGTGTAGAGATCCGTGTCCCTGGCTTTGGCAAGACCTACTCTGTTGAGTACTTGGACAAAAACAAGCTGGCAGGTGTGTGTATACTGGGGAACAGGGAGGGGCTCCAGGCTGCGGTGGGCCTGGAGGAGCTATTTTATTATATAGATAATGCCTCCCCCACAGGTTACATGAACACCCTGGTGCAGAATCTGGTCAACAATGGCTACGTGCGGGATGAGACGGTGCGGGCTGCCCCCTATGACTGGCGGCTGGAGCCCAGTGAGTGTCTCTGCAGATGATGGGCTTGTGGCAGGGCAGGTGGCCCCTAACCCCCACTGCCCTGACCCAATTCACCCCCCTCTCTCCACAGGCCATCAGGAGAAGTACCACCAGAAGCTCTCTGGGCTGGTGGAAGAGATGTATGCTACTTATGGAAAGCCTGTCTTCCTCATTGGGCACAGTCTTGGCTGCCTGCAACTGCTCTACTTCTTGCTGCGCCAACCCCAGGCTTGGAAGGATCGCTTCATTGATGGCTTCATCACTCTTGGGGCTCCCTGGGGTGGCTCCATCAAGCCCTTGCTGGTCTTGGCCTCAGGTAAGATCCCCTGCGTCCTGTGGTAGGACTGAGGGATGGAATAAAGCTGACCAGGGGCCTGTGCTCACAATGCCAGGTTGGGGGTGTTGTCCACCACCCATGGGGCATGGCCCTTGTAATTGGCCCCTCAAGACTAGTGATCCTGACCTGGACCATTAGAGTGGCTCCTGCCAGAATCTGTTTTAGTGATGATAAAGTGAAAGTTTAACAGAAAATGAACCGGAGCAATCTGGCTCACTATCCCAGGTTTGTTCCTGTAGTCTCAGGTCCTACCCACCCAGCTTTCAGCTGCCTCTGCTTCCAGGAGCTCCTTTGCCCAGGGATATGCCCTACTGAAGACTGATTTGCCAAAGCCAGGGCCAGACCCTAGGAGCCCCCCCCGAGGAGTCGCATAGCTACCACCTGTTGTACACCCACTGTCTGCTGGGCCTAGCCAAACTCGGTCTTCCTATAGGGGAAGGAAGGAAAACCCTCTTCAGACTACATTAGTTAGTGTCAAATACAGACACGGTCTCGTTTCATCCTTCCTGACCCCTGTGCAGCATAGACCACGGGGCCAACAGATACTTGACTGAGAGAACTGCTAGTATTATCCCCCCCCCGCTTTCACATATACACATCCATCTTTAGAACAATGCCCCATCCTCCTTTGAGGCCCTACAGGTCTGCCTCACACAGCAGTATCCAGGCTTATTTAACTAGGGGCCCAGTGCCCAAATTCATGCACCTTGAAAGGAACAGTGAGCTGTGAGGCTGTGGTAGGCACAGGGGTGGGTCTCAGCCCATTCTTAGCTGCTCCCACCTCGGCCCCTGGTCCCCAGTCTGCCTCCAGCCCCTCTCCTGCCACTGTCCTTCCCATGCACTGACAGCATTGGCCCTGCTCATACCCGCTGATGGCAGTCACCCCGCAGGAGCAGGGAAAGGTAGAGAAGCTCTTAGGGGCGATCGGGGCCGGCGCTGGTGCCTGCAGCAGGTGTGAGTGCCAGACAGGACTGTGGCACGTGGGAACAAAGAATTTTAAGTGACCACCAGAGGCTCACCCCAATAACAGCGACTGGCGCCCTGCCTTGGTCTGGTGCCCCCACTCATCTGCTTCACCATCCTGCCACAACCGATTCACCATGTTCCATGTGTGCCCTCTGGTAGTTGGCGCACATCATAGTGACCGGTTGTTCCATCTATTTGCATATTAGCCTTTTATTATATGGGACTAGGGGTCCAGCATGCAAAATCCTGTGACACCCAGACCCGGTGTGCCGTGGGACCCAGAGTCAAGACCGACCAGCACCACAGGACGTGGCATCGTCACCTCCTGGTGACCGGTCTTTGGTCATTACGACCACTGGGATTTTATTATATAGATAAGCACATGTTAAGTACCTACTGAATGCTGCTACGCTTGCTCTAGTCTGGCTTGGAGTCAGTGTTTGGATTAGGCTGGAACAAAAATGAGAATCCGACTAAGCTTGAGCTGGGCAGCAAGTTGTAAGCTTGTAGGTCTGACTCCCTGCCTACCTTGCTCCATGTCCACAGGTGACAACCAGGGCATCCCGCTCATGTCCAGCATCAGGCTGAAAGAGAAGCAGCGCATTACAACAACGTCCCCCTGGATGTTTCCCGCCCAGCGGGTCTGGCCTGAGGACCACGTGTTCATTTCCACACCCACCTTCAACTACACGGGCCGTGATTTCCGGCGCTTCTTTGAAGACCTGAACTTTGAGGACGGCTGGTACATGTGGCTACAGTCACGTGACCTGCTGGCAGGACTCCCAGCACCTGGTGTGGAAGTATATTGTCTGTATGGCGTGGGTCTGCCCACGCCCCACACCTACATCTTTGACCACGGCTTCCCCTACACAGATCCCGTAGACATGCTCCATGAGGATGGCGATGACACTGTGGCCACACGCAGCAGTGAGCTCTGTGCCCAATGGAAGGGACTCCAGCCACAGCCTGTGCACGTGATGCCTCTGAACGGGACAGACCACCTCAACATGGTCTTCAGCAATCAGACACTAGAGCACATCAATGCCATCCTGCTGGGTACCTACCGACATAGCACCTCTGAACCCACAGCTACCAGCCCAGGGCCCCTGCCCCCTCAATAAAGATCATCCTTTGCTGCTATAAGCCTTGACAGTTTGTTGTGGGTTGACGGGAGATGAGGGTTCACCCTTCAGGATTCATTATCAGCAGTTTCAGGCCTGGTGCCTTGTGGAGAACAGGGCAAGAGGAGTTTTGCTAAAACCTAGAATTGAACTAGGTAACCTGAGATGTACAGCTTGCCACTCTCCTGCTTGAGCTCTTATGACAGCCTGTCTCTGTGCCTGCTTCTGCTCTGGGCATGGGGACAGGTCAGCTGCACACACAGGTGTGGGATGGGGACACATGGAGTCAAGGTTTTAGGATGGATAAGATCTGAGCTATCCCAGCTTTCAAAAGGGCAGACAATGGGAGGGGGGGAAGGAGAAGGACACATATGTAATAACTTAATAAATTTTTTTTTAAATAAAAAGGCAGATAAGACCCCACCTCTAGACAGGAACTTTTTGTACAGGTGGGTGACAAGTACAAGAGATTCGAATCTGGGGGAGTGACAGCCACTAATCAGATCATTTAGCTAATGAAGATTTAATTATTAATGGAGGCAAGTAGTCTGAGAAGGGTAACAGGGGCCACTGTGAAGACTTGGGTTTGAGCCTAAGAGCAGTGTGCACTTGCTTTAACCAGGGAGAGTGTACCAGATTTCTCCTATGCAGGGTAGAGCTGCAGGGGAAGGTGGGCCAGAAAGTACGGGGAGGCCAGTGTAGTAGCCAGGAGACAGGATGCCAGCTGAGAATAAGGCAGTAGTTAGATGAAAAATGTGGATAGACTAAGGGTCATCTGGGAGGTGAAATAAGGCTTGGCCATGAGTAGGGCCTCAGCATGCCTCCAAGCCACTAGATGGACAACCACCAGGCCCCTGTTGAGAGAGGAAAGATAGCACCTGAGATAGGGAAGATGAAAGGACCGGCATGGTTGAGCCTCCATGCTGAGGTGTCATGCTGAGGGGTAGGAAACAAAGGGACAGAAGACAAACAAGGCAAAGGAATGAAAGGCAGACGTTGGGTAAAGGAGGGTAACTAAGGACAATAGGTCATGTTTGATGCTGTTGGGAGGCCTGTAATAAGGCAGAGACCTGGCAAAAGGGACTTGAAGTTACCATAGGCAGAAGTAGGAGCTCAGACTGGGAGGAGGAGGAGGAGGAGCTGAACAATGGCCAGAAGGAAAGGATTTGTCCCTTTATTCAGAGGACCTAGGAGCAGCTGGGAGAGCCAGGCAAGGTACATCATCCTCTTCACTAACTGTTTGGGACCAGATGTGAAAGTGAAAGAGAAGTAAAACAAGCCTGCGTCCTCTAAGTTGAGGTGAAAGCGAAAGCAGGAAGCATCAGACTTGGAGCCCTGCAGAGAACAGGCCTCTGCTTTTCTTGCCCCTGTTGGTCCCACTCCTTTAACCATCGACCACCCAAGTCCCAGGACTGCTCTGGCCATCCGAGGATGCTGCAAACAGAGCTAGAACCCCGAGGGGGCTTCTCCTTCGAGAACTGCCAGAGGTGAGGTGGGGGTGGCTGATCCGGAGCTGCCTGTGCACCCCATAAGGTCGTCTGAGCGTGGGAGCCCCAAGGGCCCCATATTCCTGGTGGCGAAGGGCAGAGGGGTACGAGGAGTGGGAGCACGTGAGAGGTAGATAACAAGTGGTGGGCGACTTGGGTTCCCAGGCTTACTCCGGGAGGTGAGGGAACCGAGACGGAGTTGGGGGGGATGTGAAGGGGACTCCAGAAACGCCGAAACATGGCCTACTCTCTTCCATTTCCAGAAACGCAGCCTTGGAACGCGCCCTCCCGGAACTCCGGGCCCCTCACGCCCGCAAGACCGGGACCACCATCGCGGGTCTTGTGTTCCGAGTGAGCATGGGGCTGGGGCTGGGAGGCTCAGAGAGGCGGGCGGGGGTGCGGCCTGCATCGAGCCCACAGACTGCTCCCCCCTCCCCAGGACGGGGTCATCCTGGGCGCGGACACGCGGGCCACTAACGATTCGGTCGTGGCGGACAAAAACTGCGAGAAGATCCACTACATCGCGCCCAAAATCTAGTGAGAATCCCCGGCCCCCATTCCACCACCCAAGAACCGCCCCCTCGTTCCCACCCCCGGGTCTCCGTCCCCCCCAAGTCCCGTCCCTCCCCTCCCCCCCCCCCCGCATCCTCTAGCCCCGCCCACACCGACCCTCCCTTCGCCCTCAGCTGCTGCGGGGCCGGAGTAGCCGCGGACGCCGAGATGACCACACGGATGGCGGCGTCCAACATGGAGCTACACGCGCTGTCCACGGGCCGCGAGCCCCGCGTGGCCACGGTCACCCGCGTCCTGCGCCAGACGCTCTTCCGGTGCGGGGAGGAGCGGCTGCGGGGATGGGCGGCTGCGGGGATGGGCGGGACTGAGGAGGCGGGGCGGGGCGGGGCTGCGAGGTCCCGGGACACCGGAAGTGGCCCGCGTGAGGCCTTGGACAAGGGGAGGAGCGCCGTCATCGGGGCCCCGCCCTGTCGCCGGAAGGGGCGGGCTAGGGCCAGGAGGGGGGGTGGGGCCGGGATCTCCGGGCCGGCGGATAACCACGCCCACCCCGCGCTCAGGTACCAGGGCCACGTCGGTGCTTCGCTGGTCGTGGGCGGCGTGGACGTGACAGGACCACAGCTCTACAGCGTGCACCCCCACGGCTCCTACAGCCGCCTGCCTTTCACGGCGCTGGGTGAGCGGTTCTGCCGGGTCCCCACGAGCCCCGCCCCTGGGACCCAGGCTTCACGGCCGCTTACCTAAGATGCCCCTTACCTTAGATGCCCCTTCTGCCTGCAGGCTCCGGCCAGGACGCGGCCATGGCGGTGCTGGAGGATCGGTTCCAGCCGAACATGACGGTGAGCGACACCTGACCCCCACTCCGTGGTCATTGACGGAAAAGTACACCCGAGAAGGGAGCCGGGGGAGCGCAGAGGGACCCTGGCCTGGGCTAGAGGTCAGGGTCAGGGAAGACTGAGGGGGCCAGTGGAGTGAGGGCGGAGGAGTGCTATTTTCCAACAGACCGCCGTCGGTGCCAAAGTTTTAGACTGCCGGGAGAAGTCAGAGCTCAGAGAGGACTGGGGCCGAGGGAGGAAATGGCAGGTGGGGTCTGGAGTCTGTATTTTGATTGGGGTGGGATGGGAGTGGATGAGGTAAGACCCAGAAAGAGAAAGATCCGGTGGGTTGGGGTCCAAGACCACGTTGGTTGGGTGGATAGGCCACTGGAATCAGAGTCAGGAAAGTTTGTGAAGATGGGGACAATGGGCAGTGGGAACAGGAGGGGCGTCTGTGGAGAGAGGGAAGCAGACCAGGGAAGCGGAGTTTGGAGTGGAAATGGGGCACGGGGAGAGAGGAGTTTGGGTGTGAGCAGTCTGGGTTTTAAGATTAACAAAACCCCCAGGCTGTAGCCTGAGGGTGACACCAAGAGAGTCCATCAGACCTCACACACACACATATCCCCACAGCTGGAGGCTGCGCAGGGGCTGCTGGTGGAAGCCATCACTGCAGGAATCCTGGGTGACCTGGGCTCTGGGGGCAGCGTTGATGCATGTGTGATCACGGAGACCGGCGCCAAGATGCTGCGAACACTGAGCTCACCCACAAAGCCCATAGAGAGGTGGGAGCAAGAGGGTGTGGGACCACAGGGGAGGATGGGCTGTGGCAGGGAAGGTTGGGGGCTGCAAGGGAACAGGCCACATAATGGGCCTATATTGAGAGGCTGCTTTTCCTCCATCCCAGGCCCACCCAGTACCTCTTTGCCCCTGGGACCACAGCTGTCCTGTCCGAGACAGTGAAGCCACTGCCCCTGCAGCTGGTGGAGGAAACCGTGCAGACCATGGAAGTGGAGTGAAGTCAGCTGAAGCTTAGAGCTTGGAACAACAGAGAATAAACGCAGAAAATGCAGACACCTGAACAGATGGCTGTGTTATTCTTGGGCAGAAGGTACTAGCAGCTAGCAGGATCTGTGGCGAGGCTAAGGTATCCCTGCAGGGGCCACTCCCTCCGACTGCTCCAGTGTCTGGTCACTGGACCTCAGCTCTGACAAGCATTGAAGACTCAAGGTGGAGCATTAGCTGGTTTGATTCAGTGGATAGAAGGGCCTGTGGACTGAAGGGTCCTGGGTTCAAGTCTGGTCAAGGGCACATACCTGGTCTCAATCCCAGTAGGGGGTGTGCAGGAGGCAGCCAATCATTGATTCTCTCTCATCGATATTTCTCTCTCTTCCCCTCTCCCTTCCTCTCTGGGAAAAAGACAAACAAAAAACTCAAGGTGGAAAGCCCCCCCCCCCCCCCCCCACTCCACACCATGGAAGTCCGCCTGCCACTCCTACATCTGGTTCTTACCCTGTAGTTCACGGGGGACTGTTGTAAAACCCAAAAGTCCCCAAGTACTGCCCCCACATAGAACCTTTGCCTGGCTCGTTGGTAGCCCAGGACAAAGCCTACATCTCTTAGTCAAGCCCCCTGCCCCATCGGATGCCACTGAGGGCTAAAGTGCTGATAGAGGCCCTAGTCGGTTTGGCTCAGTGGATAGAGCACTGGCCTATGGACTGAGGGGTTGCAGGCTCCATCCCCAGGAGGTGGCATGCAGGAAGTGGCCAATCAATCCCTGATTCCAACAGAGCACTCATCACCCCGTCACACTTTTAGTTGTGAAACCCCTCCAATAACCGGGCACATCTGAGGTGCTAACATGAAGTTGGGTTGTAAGTAGGGGGATTGACTCCCAAGTTTTCTGGGCTGACAGGGGTTACAGTGCTCTTGTGGGGACATATGACACAACATATTTATCCAACAAGTCTTTGCAGAGCAGCCACTGTGCTAGGCCCAGGGTCTGAGTGCTGGTAGCAGCATCCTGCCCTCAGAATAGCTGAGCTCCATTGGAGCTTTGCAAAATGCCCTACCTCTGGGGAGGGTCTACTGTAGGCTGGACATCTATGGGCCCCTGATTGTGCTCCCCCCTCCCCAACATTTTATTATGAATATTTCAAAACATAAAACTTGAAGAATTGTACACTAACAATATATACCCACCACAGACTTTACAATTAATATTTTGTTACATCTGCTTTACCATGTATCTATTCATCCATCCCCATGTTTAACCATTAACTCACTTTTTGAAACTATGCTCTTGAATTAGTTGAAACCCTCACACCCCCTAGGAAACCCACTGCAGCTTTGCACATAGGGGCCTCTCCTCTCTCTTGGTTCAAGCTGGACAACGAACAGGCTGTAGACACCAGGGCTTGCCCATATGATCCCCAAGGCATGGAGGTTGTCAGAGACTCAAAGAATGTTACCTTCTACCAGTGTCCTCTGTACAGGGTTGGGTAGTCACCAAGGGTGCACACCTTGCCCTCCTTTGTTCCAGTCCCTTCCCAGGCATCATCATTAAGAGTGTGGTCTTCAGCCCTAGCAAGTTTGGTGCAGAGGATGGAGCATTGGCCTGCAGGTTGACGGGTCCTGAGTTAGATTCCAGTAAAGGGTATGTACCTCTGTTGCAGACTCCCAGCCCTGGTCAGGGGCGTGCAGGAGGCAGCCAATTGATGTGTCTCACATGGATGTTTGTCTTTCCCTCTCCATTCCACTGTCTCAAAAAAAAAAAAAAAAAAAAAATCATGGAAAAAACATCCAAGGGTGAAGGTTATTAAAAAAAAAAAAAAGAGTGGTCTTCAGAGCCAGACATGATGGTTTGGGTCCAACCACACCATGTGCTGGTGGGAGAGTCGCCATCTGTGTAAGTAACTGATTCCTGTTTTAAATGAGGAATGATTCACAACTTGCTAGAACCCCTGTCCTGGCCACGTGACCCCGGCTCTCTGCTGGTACAGCTGGACATTCCCTCCACCCGTCAGGAACACTCCTGATGCTGAGCAGGCTTCTCTGAGTCTGGTGCTTGTGACAAACCTGGGAAACTTCCCTAACCCAGGCCACCAGGTGGTCACCATAGACCTAATTTAACCATAAGTCCTTAGGACCTAGTGCTCAGCACTTGGAATGGGAAGTGGTTCAGATAGTCAGAGGCCAGGTTTTAGGGGATTGAGGGGGTATAAAACCCACATCTGGGCTCCTTCTGATAAGTCCAGGCTTGGATTGAGGACCTTGGCCCAGAGAGACCTTGTTCCGGAATAGAGCGTGGGACAGGGCTGTGCCCCATACAGCTGGCCTGGCCTCATGCCTGGGACTTCAGCCCAAGGACGAGGAGATCCATAAAGCCAGGCTACCACCTCAGCCTCACGCCTGCCACAATGCTGCTGCTCAGTCTGACCCTTACTCTGACCCTGCTCGGCTCCTCATGGGGTGAGTAGGCCTGGACCAGCCCCGGGTCCCAGCACCAGCTCAGACTTCCTGCCCAGGGGGCCAGGCTGGCTGGAAGGAAAGCAGGTGGACAGAGTGGGTAAAGAAAAAAGACCATGAGGAAGCAAGAGATGAACAGGGATTCAGTCCAGACCCAGGAGCTAGAGAAGACTTAGAAAGCTGAGAAGTAAAGGTTGGATTGTAGTTGAGGAAGAGCCTTCTAGCTGCATGGAGCATGGAGTGGGTAGAGGCCAGGATATTATCCTAGGGGTCAGGAAGAGAAGTGGCTGGGCTGAAGGGTGGAGATGGGATTGGGAAACGGTGGGGAGTAGGTTGGCGAAATGGAGAGTGGACAGCAGTTGGGGACTGGTTGGTGGGAATGACTGAAAATGTGCAGGGGCCCAGAAGGAGCTCAGAGTGAAAGGGATAGTGATGAGCCCTCTGGATTTGGACTCCTCTGGGGTGCAGAGCTGAGGGTATCTGGAAGGAGGATGGGGAGAGGTGGGCTGGGGTGTGGGAAGCAGGTCCTCATCAACCCAATCGCCAGGCTGTGGCGTTCCTGCCATCAGACCGGCACTGAACTTCAACCAGAGAATTGTCAACGGGGAGGATGCAGTGCCAGGCTCCTGGCCCTGGCAGGTGTCTCTGCAGGTACATGCACCTGGGGTGGGACAGGATCTTAGGTGCTTCATGCCTAAGCAAAACCTGAGTTCCCCTTCCACTTCTGATCCCGACCCCAGGACAAGAACGGCTTCCACTTCTGCGGTGGTTCCCTCATCAGCCCGTCCTGGGTGGTCACTGCTGCCCACTGCAATGTCGTGTGAGTGCTCCCACTCCACACACCCCGCCCCAGCCCACCTCTCCCTACTTCCTTCCTCTAGATGCCCCTCTCTTATTGCTCTGCCCTCCCTGTAGCTGCCTAACCCCACTCTTACTGCAGCCCTGGCCGTCATGTTGTCGTCCTGGGCGAGTACGACCGGTCATCCAACTATGAGCCTTTGCAAGTTATGTCCATCTCGCGGGTGAGTCCCCGGCTTGCAGACCTGGGAAGGAAGAGTGAGCAGTACAGGTGGGCTCTGGGGATGAAGAATTCCGGGCCTGCCCTGGCCTAGCCCCCTCAGCACCCATCAACTCTGGGGGCCTGTGTTTACCCCATCTTACATGGCCCTTCCTGGCTCCACAGGCCATCACACATCCATATTGGAACCCTACCACCTTCAATAATGACCTGACATTACTGAAGCTTGCCTCGCCAGCACGATACACATCACGCATCTCACCAGTTTGCCTGGCTTCCCCAAATGAGGTGTTGCCTTCAGGCATCACGTGTGTTACCACTGGCTGGGGCCGCCTCAGTGGCATCGGTAAGGAACTTGGGCCAAAGATCTGGGTGGGAGAGCTGGAGTGGGGACAAGTCACTTAAGGCCTAACCACCCCCCCCACCCCCCCCACCCCGGCACACAGGCAATAATACCCCAGCACGCCTGCAGCAGGTGGCCTTGCCCCTGGTCACTGTGAGACAGTGCCAGCAGTACTGGGGCTCCCGTATCACCGACTCCATGATCTGTGCAGGTGCCTCAGGGGCCTCCTCATGCCAGGTGAGCACTAACACTGTCCTGTCCTCTCTGCTGTCCTTTGCCCCCCTGCTTCCTATGCTGACTTCTCCCCTCTCCTTCCCTCAGGGTGACTCTGGAGGCCCTCTTGTCTGCCAGAAGGGGAACACATGGGTGCTCACAGGCATTGTCTCCTGGGGCACCAGCAACTGCAATGTGCGCGCACCTGCCATGTATACGCGGGTGAGCAAGTTCAGCACCTGGATCAACCAGGTCACAGCCCAAAACTGAGCCTACCCACAGGCCACTTCCCTCTTAATCAATAAAGACCCCAGACTTTGTGCTCTCGTGTTATCTCGTCTGTCCTCCTGGCTATGGGGGTGAGGGGGGGGGTTGTCTATCCCCACATGGGCTTTATCTTCCAGCATGACAAAGGTTGAGAGATCAAGATCTTTCCAGACTAGGCCCCCTACCCCTCCTCCTCCTGGGTGACCCCTTGGTCCACAGCAAGGAGCCTGGGGTGTCGGAATGGGCAGCCTTCCCTGAGAAGGGCAGCCTGTTTATTGAGTACAGAGGATACATTTACAAATTGAGTACACAAAATAAATAACTGCACATTCTCCACCCACAGTCCATGGCATGAAGGCCCCAATGGGCCTGTCAAAGGCCCGTCTCCAAACTCCTTCTGTCCTACCTTCAGGACCAGGCTTATCCTGGGCAAAAGAGGAAATAATTCCCAGGGCATCAAGCCCCCAGAGGCACTTGGAAAAGTCAGGGGAGTTCTGAGGCCATGGGGCTTGGGCTCTCCATTGCCTTGAGCCAGGGGCACTGGGGGCAGAAGGAAGGGGTGTATAAGGCACAATCGACTTGGCCCAGAGTGATTTCTTTGGCTTGGTATTCCACTGGAGGTGGCACATGCAGAAAGAGGGGGGCCTGGCCCATGGCTACCACTGGGAGGAACCGAGTGAGGGCCAAACCCTCCCTGTTGGCAGGGGCCC